GATACTTGGTCTAAGACCGGAAGTCTTGAGCTGCTTGAGCCATATATAAGAGATTCGGTTCGGGCCAACAAACGGTCGGGTACTCTTGACTTAGCTCTCACTTCATTGTTCACAGTCATAACATCGAAGTCGTACATAATTTCGCCTATCTTTGAATCAGTATTAACATCAACACCTATGCCAGCCTCGAAATCCCACGCAGAATAACTTTTGCCAATAGGTGCTACTTTGGACTGAGTAGGCAATTGAGAAGTAAAGTTCTCTCTTGACGTACAAAAACCAAACTCTATAAGTCACTCATTACTTCCGTTCTGCTATATGGGGCAGAGGCCGGACCGATGAAAACATCTGACGAGTCGGCTTACGAGTTTTCGAGAGGTTTTCATTGAGGAAGACCTCCACTGCGTTGGAGAAATCAGGTAGAGAAGTACCTGGCTGCACTTGGCGCTAAACAGCAAAAAAGAAGAACGTGTGTAAGCGGTGTCTACGCCAGTAAAGAAGAAGATGATGTGATTTTCGGTAATTAATACTTGTTTTTGTTCCCAAATCCCGAAATGTAAAAGGGGACACTCGTATATTTCTATATGTAAGCTTGCACGAATGCCGTATTATAATCAAAGTACAATTGAAATTGAGGCTTTCTAGGAATTTCACAACACGAGGTAATTGGGAATTTGAGAATTTCTGCCACCGCAGTGTTCTACATGAACATACACGCGCTTTATACTTATCTACTATATACATATGTATATTTACATATTTGAATTGCATGCTTGTATGCCGTAACTGATATTGAGGCAATTTTGAGTAATTGTAACGGCATTCGCTATCTGATTATTCCAGGGTGACACAAATATCTGATTTCTAAATGGCTCAAAAGGTTTTTATAAAAAAAAAAAAAAAAAAAAAAAAAAAAAAAAAAAAAAAAAAAAAAAAAAAAAAAAAAAAAAAAAAAAAGATAATAATAATTGAAAATGATGTGTAATGAAAATAATTTATAACAAAGACAATACAAAAACAATACATTTGGCAACTAATCCCGTTAACAAAACCGATACAACAACAAAAATAATCATTAACTGATAATCTCATAGCGCGCTAATACCGATCACAAAGACTTTATAAGCTTTAATATACGTACATTTATCATAAAGATGGCTGTATGTATGTATGTATGCACATCACCGCCGTGATTGATAATATAAACATCAACAAGTTGAATCATCATTGCTAATTTTACACACAACTTTATTAGTGACACGGTTTGAGCCGTCGCGCTCACAGCCCGCGACCGACAGTTAGTCGTAGTAGTTAGAAATATATACTTTGCAGATATACATACATATATACGTCGTATATGTCAGTGATACGTACGTAAATATTTTAATATGCAATACATACATATTTACATATTTGCACACAGACAAATCGGCATGGCATTACTTGAGTCAATTGAAGTGTGGTAATTGCAAATAATAATAACAGTAATGAAAATGGAAATAAAAAAAGTTGCAAATTAAAAATATTTAAATTTTTCCCAAGAATCAACGGCATTACTCATACGAAAGACAACCGATTACTTGTACAATGACGCGGACGACGATCGACGACAGTCAATGTTTGCAGCGGCACAGCGGCGACACCCACAACGGTGACGCTACCGGCATAACTGCTACAACCGCTCTGAACAGTAGTGCCACAACGCGCATAAATAAGAAGAAATAAAAACTTAACCGGTCTGTTTATTCGAAAGAACAATTTTTTGCCATTTATTTTTTGAGATCATCTCTTTGAAATGTTGGCCGCGGCGTCTACCCATTCCTTGAGTTCAATTTTCGATGACTCGTTCGAGCATTTCGACTGGTAACTGACAAATGACACGGGTGATGTTTTGCTCCAAGGCCTGAATCGAAGCGTGTTCGTCTGTAGACTTTTTACTTTACATATCCACACAGAAAAAATCCTAAGGGTGTGATATCACACGATTGTTTGCTCACCGAAGTGTTCTCTCAACAAATGCATTGATTGAAAAATGTCGCAGAGATCGAGCTTAAATTTCAGGCATTAAATAGTCGGTTATCATGGCGCGATAACGGTGGCCATTGACGGTTCCGTTCTCACCGGCATCATTTTTGAAGAAATATGAATCAATGATTCCACCGGCCCACAAATTACATTAAACCGTTGTTTTTTCTCTATGAGATGACAGATATTGAATCTTTTCAGGTTGCTCTTCGTCCCAAATGCGTCAATTTTGCTTGGTTACATAACCATAGAGCCAGAAATTGACCTCATCGCTGAACAAAATTTGGCTCGAAAACGTAAGATCTTCTTGGAATTTTTTTAAAGCTCATAGAGCGAAGCTGTATCTTGTACGCTTTCAATTTAAGATCTCGACATAAAATGCATCAAGTCGTTCTATAGGTCAATCCGAATTACTGCGAACGGCACCAAATTGACTCCTGACGGTCTTCGTGCAGACTCTCAGCTGCGGCTGCTAAATTTTATTTACTGCGCGCTGGTCTATTCGATCGTATAATGAGTACTTGTTCTTAAGATGGGTGATGGTGTTCAAAATTTCCTACTTCTTATCGCTGGTTGGAATGAAAAGTTGTTCCTTTTCAAAGCGCTTATACATAGATGTAGTAATGTGGTTCTGAAGCATTTTTCTCCTACCAATATATCTGGTCATCTATATCAAGGTCCTCCAAAGAGGTAACATATTCATTTTCAGAAGTTGAGGATTTATTTTCATGCAGTCCAGTCGTCGGATCACTGTCCTGTCTCCTGTTATCGGAATGTATCCAGATTTTTATATGGAAAAGGAATGTCAGCTCGGCAGCGGTCCTCAGAACTCCATTACAGAATGTTTTCTACCGTTATAACTATAAAGGGGATCATCTTCCACACGAACATATATGGCAGCCGATCCAGTTATCTAACACATATTTCCGACTTCAACGTTCAAGTCACTGAGTTTGATGGGTGCTGAACTGGTAGCAGCAAAAGCTACAGGGTCTGACAGTAGACCTAAATCTGGTACCATGGTGAGCAGAGTGCCTTTGTATCCAATCTGCTCATTGGGTTTCGTGGCTGTGGTTTAAATCTAAAGGCAGGTATAATTGAAAATTCAGTCGCAGCACGGCAGAGGTTTTAGGTCGGCATCGAACTCGACCAAGGTGGAAAAGATGTCCCTAGCTGATCAATTGGAACCAAATAATAATTGGAAGAAGCTTTTATTATTTGAGGCGCAGATCAACGCTTTTTTTTTTTTTTTTTTTTTTTTGTTTTGATCTAAGTGCTTTAAAGCACCGTGGGGTAAGGCCGTCGTAAGGCCGTTCTCTCGACAGTCGGGTC